GAACTGGGAGCACTGGGGGCACCGGAGATCTGGGGCTACCCACAGCACTCGGGGGTACCGGGGAAATTGGGGCAAGCACCGCATTTAGGGGAACTGGGGGAACTGGGAGAACTGGGGGTACTGGAGGTACCGGGGCCGTGGGGGCCCTGCTGCACCCGGGGGTACCGGGGTTACTGGGAGAACTGGGAGCACCCACCGCGCCTGGGGACACTCCCAAAATTGAGGGGTACCGGGGACCCCACAGTGCCTGGGGACACCGGGGGAACTGGGGGCACCGGGACACCGGGAACCGGCGGTACTGGGAACACTGGGACACCGGGAACCGGCGGTACTGGGAACACTGGGAGCACTGGGGGCACGGGTGGGATTCCGCGGGCACCGGGGGCTGTCAGTGCCACCACACCCGCCTTACTGGGGATACTGGGAGGACTGGGGGTGCCGGTAGCCCCCCCCCCGTACCCAGTGTCTCCTCCCAGGACCGACCAACCCCACCCCGGCACCGGCGGCACCAGTAACGAACTGGGACACACTGGGACACACCAGTAACGAACTGGGACACACTGGGACACACCAGTAACGAACTGGGAGACACAAACCCTGACCAGTATCTCCAGCACCCACAATCCCCATCCCCCAGTCTCACCAGTCCCCCCCAGTCCCGGGGACCCCCCAGGACCTCCCCAGCAAAATCCGTCCCGAGCACCGCGACACGGGGGGACAGGGGGGACACCGAGGGGACACCGAGGGGACAATGGGGACACCGAGGGGACACCGAGGGGACAATGGGGACACCGAGGGGACAATGGGGACACCGAGGGTCCCCAGCCCCCAGCAGCGCCCCTCCCCCCCCCGTTCCCGGGCCCCGCGGGGGGGGTTGGGGGTGGTGGCGCGGGGCCACCTGCGCGTCCCCGCCGTTGTCACCGCGGGGTCCCCCCGGTGTCCCCTCCCCCCCCCCCGCGCAGCCACATCAAGGGAGGGACCCGCAGGTGCGCGGGGGGGGAGGGGAGCAGCTGGGGGGGAGCGGGACGGGGACACGCGGGGACACGTGTGGGACATGGGACACACATGAACAGGCCGGGACACGCGTGTGACACCTGACACACGGGTGTGCAGCTCACGGCATCCGTGCGCAGCCCGTGACACACCTGTGCAGCCCAAAACACGCGCGTGTGTCCCGAAACTCGCGTGTGCGCCCTGTGACACACAGGTCCAGGCTGTGACACGCGTGTGGCACACCTGTGCACACTGTGACACACACGGACACCCCGAAACACGCACAGCGTGTCCTGGGACACGCGTGTCCGGCCCGTGACACACCTGTGTGCCCTCTAACACGCGTGTGCAGCCCGAAACACGCGTGTGGAACCTGTGGCACACATCCATGGCCTGTGACACACGTGTGCGCCCTGAACGACACGCGTGGGCACCCTGGGACACACCCGTGCCCCCCAAAACACACACAGGTCCTGGAACACGCGTGTACAGCCCGTGACACACCTGTGCGCACTGCGACACACACGGACACCCCGAAACACGCGTGTGCACCCCAAAACACGCACAGCGTGTCCTGGAACACGCGTGTCCAGCCCCAAACAGGTGTGTGCACCCCAAAACACACTCGTGTGTCCTGGAACACGCGTGTCCAGCCCGTGACACGCGTGTGTGACCCGCCACAGGTGCGTGCGGCCGCGGACTCACCTGCGCACCCCAAACCACGCGCGTGCAGC